CAGTGATATGTTGCAAAATCTAGTTCAAGGAGAAGCAGTTCAAACATATATTGATAACTCAGTCATAGATGACTCGGAAAGGGATTTTAACCCTGTGATGATGTAAAATAGTAAAACAGTAACAATAAAATAGCACCACATTCCCAATCTTGGATTTTCAGGAATGATCTATGCAAACTCGTTTGTGTATCTCCAAATTGTCTTTGTGCATGTTTTGTTAAGTGTTCAACGCTTTTGGACCCAAGTCAAACAGAAATCTGTAGCTTCTACATCACTTATTTGTATTTGGTGCAATTTGTTCGACAACTGTGTACATAACACAACCAAATACGCAGTTCATGTTATCCAAAATGAGGTTCATATTTGCACTGTTATAATAGACAAAATACATGTACAGCTGTTCTTCCTCTCAAAATTGTAGCCTGCCTCTCTTGCAATGAATTTGTGCTGTCTCCACTGACACATGGTTCTTCTTATTTCAGATTGTGAGCTTTTTGTTAACCTACACAGCTATAGATGTCAATGCCATCAATAATCAGAAGGAAACAGCCTTGGATTTGGCAGATAAACTGCCATATGGAGATTCAGCTTTGGAAATCAAGGAGGCCCTTACAGAATGTGGTGCCAAGCATGCCAGGCATATTGGGAAAGTGAATGAAGCCATGGAACTAAAAAGAGCTGTGAGTGATATCAAACATGAGGTGCAATCACAGCTTATACAGAATGAAAAGACTCGCAGACGAGTTTCCAGTATTGCCAAGGAATTGAAGAAAATTCATAGAGAGGCAGTTCAGAACACCATCAATTCTGTCACAGTAGTATCTGTTCTCTTTGGCTCAATAGCATTCATGGGCTTGTTCAGCTTACCTGGTCAATACCGAAAGAAGCAACCGGAGGCAGGAGAGGCAAACATAGCCCATGATGTTGCCTTCAGTGCTTTCTGCCTATTGAATGCAACAGCTCTTTTCATTTCTCTTGCAGTTGTTGTTGTTCAAATCACTTTGGTGGCTTGGGATACAAGGGCTCAAAGGCAGGTTGTGTCAGTGATTAATAAGCTAATGTGGGCTGCATGTGCTTGCACTTGTGGGGCATTTCTTGCTATATGCTTTGTGGTGGTTGGAGATGAAACATGGCTGGCTATAAGTGTCACCGTTTTAGGAGCACCAATTCTACTTGGCACTCTAGCATACTTGTGCTACTTTGTTTTTAGGCGACGTTTTGGACTCCGTGGTGATTCTCAGAGACTAGTCAAGAGACCAAGTGGAAGCAAATCTTTCTCATGGTCTTACTCAGTAAACATATCAGATGCGGAGGAATATGATTCTGATCATGAGAAGATATATGCTCTGTGAGTGAGTTTGTTAACTTAGTTGATATCCTTCCACCCATGTGGAAAGTGAAATGTTAACTCACTAGGATTCAGCTAGCAAGCCTTACACAAGAATATCAGTTGGATATGCTAATACATGAGACTGATTATCAGAAGTCGGCTGTAGATTTATGTACATGGAAATAAAAATATAAAAAGAAAGTTCGGTTTAAGGCTTACATCCAGCTCTGGATTTTTTATAATGGTTTGCCTGCTCCATAATTTGGTTTGTGTTAGATTCTAATTTGTTGACTTATGACGCATTATGCATAATTGTGTGACGTTTCTCTGCTATAAAGTTGATATGGACAGAAAGTTGTTTAGAACCTTAATCTGGTAATTCTGTGTCTTAAAATTTCGTTGGACAAGAAGGCTATCACTTGTACACACACGCACGCATATATATCATGTCAAAAATCTAAATTAAAGGTTAAGATTTATATAATTCACATTTTAATAAAGGGTAGTTAAGGTTTTTAGTTCTTATTGAATAATGATTCTTGCATATAGAATACCGAGAAACTTATCTCCGAGTGAAATCCCATGATCCTCAAAAAATGTTACAGGCCTTTGAATATATGGTTAACATTATATTATATAAGGGTATAATAAATCTTTAGTTAGGAATGATATTTTGCTCGCTATTGAAACTTGTTATAACAATCATGGTTGATTGAACATAACCTTTAGAGGAATATTGCTAATTCTCTATAATGTATCAAGGTTAAGAGAGAAGTGTTCCTTCATTGATCAACATGGTGGGATATGATTTGATGTCATCCGGATACAAGGAAACTTTGGGGATGCACAACTTTTAAAGTGGCATTCTTCATATTTCAACTTAAAGTCAAAATTTACTAACCAAAAGTCAAGTTTTACAAAAATTGGATACTAAATTAAATTCCTATCTAAACCTTGATTTCCATTCTACAAAATCCTTGAAATTCTATTAAATATGGACTAAATATCTAGCTTATATATTTTATATCTTAAGTCCATCATAAACCCCTCAAAAATTTGGTTAAGAGAACGAAAAGTAGAGTTCGAAATGGAAGAAAAGTTAGAAGGGGCTAACTAAAATTAAAAATAGATATTAGGTTAGCTCAAAATTGTTTTGGACAAATCAAATATAAGCTTAAAGACAGAACTAAAATTGTAATTAATTACTGTTTAAAAAGAAACTGGATATCGAAAATTTGTGGATTAGTCACTTGGAATCGAAATCCAATATCAATGCGTTAATCTTTTTGCATGACTATTATTATTAAAAAGATAACACAATTTAGGACCCAAACACAATTTATTGATCATATTTGTTGCTATATTCAGGCCAAATCATAAAGTCAAGTCAGTATCAAAAGTAAATCAGTGAACAATGATAATCTCAGCAATTATGCAAGTTGGATGATAGAGAAAATGCTTTTACATACTGTGCCCCACTTGAATTGCTGGGGAATGAATTAACCTAAAGAATTGCTACAAAAGAAGCAAACATTCATGGTTTAAATACATCTTTCCTGACTATATAATGAAGAATTGGAATGTTACTTAAACCAATCAGCGGAAGATGAAAACAGAGTATGTGTTGGTGTAATTCCTGAAAAGGTAGAACCTTTAGATGTTGTTGAGTGAGAGGTCACTAGGCGCTAAGATAAACTCATTGGGCGAGCTTTGGCTGACTCATCTCCCTTGTTCCAAGTGAGGATCAAATGTAATCGTCCATTCTTTATGGCATCCTCCCATCCTGATTTAACCTTCTTGGTCATACTCCTAGTACAAGGTACATTGGTTAGACCCAAGTTATCATCTCCTCCCTCTTGAGAACCATTTGTCCTCAATATGGAGATTGACTTTATTCATTGGAAAAAACCATTCTTGGGTGGCTTTATTTGTTTCAGTGTACACATGAACAAAAAGTGCATACCTATGGTGAGACTTATTAGCTTTGGCATACAAAATACAAATTCAAAAGTTAAACAACTATGATACCACTTGATGAAGAATTGGAATTTTCATTTGAATCAAACACGCGATGATTAATGCAACGGAAGATGAAAACAGAGTAAGTATTGATGTATAATAAGTGAAATAAGATCAATGGTGGTGTAATTCCAGGAAGGGTGCTGCTCCCTCTATCACCAAGTGCTCCTGCATCTCATCACTATTTATTTTTATTCCAAAAATAATCTAATCTATTTTCTTTTATTCCAAAAATACTCTACACCTCATTATTATATTTAACAATCTTTCTCTTTCTCTCTCCACATTAATGGAGCATTCACATGGCTCAGATTTAAACTTCATATATTGTAAAATTTTATTTACACTGGTCAATATTTTTTTTTTCTTAAACTTACTTAATAAATGGTAAAATTTTATTCTAAATTTCTAGAAAAATGTTTATATATATGTGTGTTTTTTTTTACATTTAATATCTATAATTTTTAACATTATATTATGTTTTAACTTACCAACATGTTTGACTCAAATAACTTGAATAAAGTATTTAATTTATTAGATAAATAATATAAAAATATTATTAAATACTTAAAATATCAAAGAAAAGTTATTTGTTAAATATTTGGAATTTATTTAATTTTTTCATCATTATAAAGTTAGTATATAATAATAATAATATATTATTTACTATTAATATTATTATGTTTATTATTTTGTATTTGCATCTAATTTTTAAGTTTATAAAATGAAAGTGGTAAAAACACTAATATTAAAATTTCTTCTGAATATTGAAATTTCTTCTAAATTTTATATTTTACAATATATCACAAGTTTAAATCTAAGTCATATAAATGCTCCATTAATGCAGAAAGAGGAAGAAAAATATTATTGAGGATAGTGGAAAAGTGTAAAGTATTTTTGGAATAAAAGAAAATAGTGAGAAGATGTAGAATTTTTTTGGAATAAAAGAAAATAGTAGAGAAATGCAAAACACTTAGGGTGTGGAGGGAGCAACACCCTTTCGACAAGAATAAAAATCAGACTTTCTTTTGAATGTTCAACTATTTCCTGAAAAGGTAGAACCTATCTAGGAAAAATGAGCTAGAGAAGGTTTATTGCTTAAACCCATACTCCTAGTAAAAGGTTTATTGGTTAAACCCAAATCATCCATACATATCAACAAAAGACTAAATCAAATCATAATATAAAAATAAATACAAATTTTATATCTTCAATCAAGTTTATAAAATTAAATTAAACTTAAAATTTACTGCTTTTAAGATTTCTCAAATACAAAATTGTATTTGTTCACCCAGATTAGAGACTTGATGTCATGAAATTAAACAAAAGTATATGACTATATATACAGTACACTTTACCTAATTGTGCAGTTTCTTCGTGAAAGTAGCTAATTCCTTATTTTGTTTGATAAGCAGGTAGATAATTTATTTTACTGTATAAATCATCTCCCTCTAGCCCACGTGGTTATAATTAAAAAAAATAACAGAACCACGTGGGTATCATGTTGTACAAAAGTCAAAAGAATAGCCAAGGAAAAAAGCCCAGGCTTATCTTGAATCATAAACACCCAATTTTACAGATCATGTTCTAGAACAGTTTTACTATGATTTACAATTTTACAGATCATAACCGAACCCCTTCAAAGTACACATACTCTCTAGACAAGACTCAATGAGCAGAAGCAAAATATTAAAATTATAAGCGTAGCTTCCCTAGACCTCTCTTAAATGATCTTGAAGGAACATTACGTTCAACAGACTGGGCTCTTATTGGTTCTTCCTCTCTTTTTGGCTCCTGCATAACAGCTCAAATAATGACAAACATGATACACGAAGGAAAATATACTATGTCAAGAGATTATAAAGCAGGCACCATCGCCTCTTCACCGTCATTTCCAATATTCTCTTTCTTCTATGAATTTTTACATAACTTAAGTGAAACAAGAAAACAAAAAGAGCAAAATCAATAGGCAGAATGAAGAGGTCAGCAACCTTTGTCGATGAAGTGGAAATATTGCGTGACTTTGCCCGTGTTTTGGCAAGCACACGATGCTGGCGCTGCATTTGCTGAAATTGTTGTAGCCTTGCAGCAAAATTTATTCCATTACGTGAGCTCCCACCATCTTCGGCTACAACAACACCATCCTCAATGGTTCGAAATCCATCAGGCACGCTATGAAATTGGTAGGGATCCCCAGAAGATGTTCTCTTCAATTGCTCACCACTATTTGAATACGATGGCACGGCTTTTAAACGAGTTTTTAGTATCTTAAAGGCGGAACTTTGCTGCAAAATAGTATTGAAAGAGTTAATATATAAACATCAAAGCATGTACTCCAGAAAATCATCTAGTCTAAGCGACAATACAATATCTTCAACAATAGTCATCATAAAAATCACAATTCTTACGATATCTTCAACAATAGTAGTCATCATAAAAATCATAATTCTTACCAACATGACAAACATCTCTATGAAAAAATGCTACTGACACAAAAGATACTACCTTTATTAATTTACATTTTCTCAAACATTAAAATATGAAATGTGCAAATTTGAAAATAAGGAAATAAAGTACAATATCTTCAATCTCCTTTGATACTTTAGCATTAAGGACACTCAAACTGGTGAATGAATATCAATCCCTCTTGTTGACAACAAGCTTCTACCTGAGTAATTCCGATTCACGTCTTGTGTATTATTCATGAAAACATCATTACAATATATAGACTCCAGTTTGGCTTTTCATCTCCAAGCTTTAAACTCTACTATCAAGACACAATTATTACAAAAACACAACACACTAACGACAATAAAACTCCTGACCTTTGCACTCCAATTGTAAACACACAAAACCCCAAACACATTTATTACCCATAAAACAGCCCATTTAAGTTTATTCCAACACCTCTCAGATTGTCTATAAGTTCCTGGAATATAATAGTAGGAAGCCCCTTAGTAGAATATCAATCACTTGGAATCTGAAAGGAACATGACTTTTAACAATAATACACTTGTCTAGCTTCTCTCTAACAAAATGTTCGATGTTTCGTGTTTTGCTACATTATGTTGAACTAGATTGTGTGCAATGATTGACTTATTATCACAAAATAACTTCACAGGGATCTCAAATTTAATTAAGATCACCAAGAATGATCCCCATCCATAGCCCTTCACATGTCTTATGCCATAGGTTGACACTCAACTTCAACACAAGATAGTGATTATCTTTTGCACTCCAGCAAGTCACCAAATTTTCTGCCAAAAACATTTCCTAGATGCGATTAACCAACATATGTCTTAAGAAAATAGAATTTAAGTCTAACTCAATCTCACAAAACTGACTTGTTAAGGTGAGATTTACAACAATTATGTATCATTATTTGATCATATCTCTAGTCAATGATATGCAAAGACTAATAAATACCAAGCACTTAGGCCCACCCTCAAAGGCTAAACAGTTAAGGGAGGAAAACCAACCATTTAAATACTCTAGCTAGCATCTCATACTACTCGATGTGACACTTAGGCACCTCATAATACCCAAATTCCTATCCAGTACCTTGTGTTTTACCAAAACTCCTGCTAGCATGCAACAAAATCCTTCTTCAAAAATGTTATAATAAAACAGAGGCATAGGTTGAATCCCTAATGTGTGTAAAGCACACAGGGCTATGCATTTATCAATAAGAAACACAAAGAGATGTGCCTAAGCCGGTTACATATAACTAAAAAGAAGGTTGCACTCAATCCAACATCTCTTGTGCAAAAGGATAAAACATTTAGTTATTTCTTATTTCCAAAACCAAAGAATACCACACCCAGGTCATTATAGGCGAATCTTCACTGTTCCACCCCTCAAATTTTGGGTGATTTGGGAGAGAACCCCCTCCATCAATATGACTAAACCTCAAATGTCCTTAAGAATTTTTTTGAATGTATTGGCCTTCGCCCCACTATAGATAATTACAAACATATGGACCCACCACATAGTGAAAATCATTAGGATGCAACAGTCAACCATTACTGAGAAACATAGCATACCCAAAAACACAACTAAAAACAAAGTCACAAAAGTTGTAGATCGAGGACAAATTTGGAACTGAACTACTTGACACCAGCCCTTTGAATGGAATAGATGGTGTGCAACCCTATAAATGTGGTCAATGGCAAGTGGGACCTGCAGGAAGTAGGCACATGACCTAAACACTGGGAGTAGAAGTGGCCTGTTCATTTAAGTCTGCACCCACAAAACAAATATGCACTGAAAACAGTCTGCTAGTATACCCATCTTAAACAGGTCTCGTTTTTTGCAAACTGCAACCATGGTGTGCAAATCTTCTTTTCCCAATTAAAATGTAATTACTAAACATATTCAAGTGTCCAAAAAATTTTGTTTAAATCCAACCAACATCCAAGATATGACAAAGCTCTCCAAGATCAAGCTCAGCTACCAAGTTGAAAAAAGATACTGTCTTTTATTAATTTGCATCACAAGAATGACATTTTTATCAGTCATCCTATTATCAAGGAACAAAATCCGTATGCTTGGAAAAAAAGAAATTGAAATAAGCAAAAAAAAAATACAGTTAAAATACAGTATCTCTTTGGATCCTCCAAGATACTATGTTTAGAAGGATATTTGAACACATCCTATATATACAAGGAAACTACAACTTCTCAACAGGTAAGAGAAATATTTGCAGAGATACCTGAGGAAGCAACATCAGAAGACCATACAATGCCTTGAATAACCAAATATATCTTCCAGGTTCAAGAAGCTGCAAAACAATGACTTCAGAGCATGAGAGAAACCATTTAAAACATAATTATCCTTTACCAGAATCTCATGCAAGAGAAAATTAATCATATCAAACAGGGAGGAAATGAAAGACTTTTACACGAGGAAGAGCACATGAATAGATAAGGTGCCTCTGTCAATAAAGGACACCTACAAAGGGATTGAGAACCATATTAAAAATTCCTATATACGATTTTATGTTTATAGAAACAACCAGGCTTTCAAATTACAACAACTGATGTATTATATTTTTCCTTCCCTTAAAGGGGAACCAAACACTAAGTGAAAGGGTTCCACATCACAAAAAATGCTATATGGACAACATTCCAATATCCATTGTGATAAGTTATTAGAGTGGCGAATAGCATGGTAAATAAACTCCAAAAATGGGATCTGTAATTAAAATTTGATAAATAAAACAGCAAGGCTCCTTTTGAGTATGCACCCTTTGGTATTCAATCCATAATATTTAGGAGTTACAATTACCATATTTTATATGGAATGCTCAACATACAGGATAAACAGTGTGAGATAAATTATGAGTACTGCCCATTTAGGGAACTCATCCTAATAATATGCTAACTTTCACCTTTCAAGTTAAAAACAAAAACTTACCGCATCAGATGTAATATTATGGATGATAAATGCCAACGGAGGTTTGATACAAACAAAAACCATTTAGTATTTGGAGTGTCATAAGATAAATGAAACCTAATGAAAAACCATCAGGTATTGGAATAACATAATTGTTTAAATTTTAACAAAAAAATAATAATAAACATATTCCACCATTCAACAACTCCGTGTTATTAGAGATATAGAATCTATCCGTTTAGATAAGTTTAATCAGTTGCTCAGTTTGTCAGCCAGTTGTTCTGTCTGTTATGTTATACTATGTAACTGATACTTGTACTCTCAGTTTACCAATCTTATGAACAATTGATTCTATGTCTGCATTCTCTCCTCTATCTGAAACTTTTCTCAGTTTCTATTACATATCTATCATATTTTACCAGATCAAGTACAAAATATATGTGTTAGAATTATTGTATTTGTATTTAGATGTGAAAATGGTATTGTATTGAATGAAATGATTCTCTTACCTATTACACCCCTTCACTTAATCTTACCTATTACGTTTCAAGACAATTGCAAAGTAACCCATGTATATGGATGTAGTCCCTTTGCAGTTTGTAGATTTCAGCTATACTGGTGATCAGTCACCAGCCACTGATGAGGATTTAGTGTAGTCCTGCAGTTTTGTGCTCTTAGCTTTCAAGCTACCACTGGTGATCCCGTCACTCATCCATCATTGATGGAGAATAAGTCCTTTGCAGTTGTCATTGGCCACCAATGCTTCTTCATCCACTTTTGAGGAGAAGTTTCACAAGCTGATGTGTCCATCTATGTTGCAGCACACTTTGAAGACAAATCATCTAGTTTCAACACCGAGTTCATCTATTCCAAGCTTTAGTACACATACAATATGTATGCTCTGCTTGAGGGGGGAGGTTAGAATTATTGTATGTATAGATGTGAGTGTGAGTGTGCTGTAGTGAGTGTGTGTGAGGTGTGTACCACTCACTTACTCTATAAGTAAGGATTAAGTGAAGGGGGTAATAGTAGGAGAATCATTTCATTCAATACAATACCATTTTTCACATGGTATCAGAGCAGGTTCTCTGAATCTACCTCTAGGGTCTCTACTGTCTGCCGGCGGCCGGCCGCCATGGCCGCCGGCAGCCCTTACAGTTTCCGGTGACAGCCCTCAAATTCCATTTTCTCTTCTTCTCTGCGCACCCGTTCAGACCGAGTGTGCCACTGCTGTCGCCGCCCCACTTCCGTGCCATCGCTGCTGACTCCGTCGCCACCGCCGCCGCCCCTGCCGCCGCCGCCGCCGCCAACCGTTCACAGTTTCGACGGGTGACCATCGGATCTGGACCGTCTCCTTGAGCGACGGCCAACCCTACCGGAGACAGGACCAGAATCCTCCGAACGCGCCGCCACGGAGCTCTTCTTTCCGGCCAGTCCGCCGCCGGCCGTCACCGTTTCGACCGGTGACCAGCAGATCTGGAGCGTCTCCTCGAGCGACGGCCAACCCCGCCAGAGACAACACCAGATTCCTCTCAACGCGCCTCCACGCGGCTCCTCTTTCCGGTAGATTCGGACGCGTATAGCCCACGCGCCGCATTGTGCCGGCCACCGTCACCGTTCCGACCAGCGACAACTGGATCTGGCTCGGCCTCTTCACGCGACGGCACCACCCCAACGGTGCCGGCGTCCGAAACCTCCGCACCAGCTGTCACGCGCGCTTCTTTCGGCAGTCTCGCCGCGTGTTCTGCACGCGCCGCCTTCCCGGTGCCGGAGTTTTCCCCGCGACCCCTCCATAGCCGTCGTCGGAAGCTCCCTCTCTTGTTTCGACCATCAGAGCAGCCGTTTGCTGCCATCTTGTCTCTGCCGTTGGTGTCCAGCGCCGTTTTGCAACTGTCCGACATCCGTGTGCCGCTTACCAGGCGCCGTTTGCCACTGTCCAGTATTGTTGCGCTGTTCCGCGCCGTCTGCTGCTGTCCAGGTCCGTTTCCGCTTGTCCGCGCGGTCTGTCGCTGTCCGCGCGGTATGGCCGCTGTCCACGCGCCGTTGTCTGCTTTCCGATACCGTTTGTCGCTGGCAGGCCCCTTTTGACACTGACAGCCACGATTGACCCGCTGTCCAGGTGCGTTTCCGCTGTCAGCGCCGTTTTGTCGTTGTCCAAGCGAAAGTTTGCCGATGTTCTTGCACTATTTGCTGCTGTTCGGCACAGCCGCGGTTCGTGCTAGAGTTAGCCCGATCTTCTTGCACAGTTTGCCGCTAGTTCGGTGCTTAGAGTTAGCCCGATCTCTTGTGATACACTGCTACGTATCACCACTTGGGAGTTGTCCAGCAAAGAAATTTTGGACATCCAATTGGATCTTGATGCCGTTGTTTCAGTATTATAGCCTTAAATAGTTTGTTTCTATTTTTAGTGGTCAGCAACGTGATGTCCACATTTCCGCCGTCACACTAAGGGGGAGTAACGTTTCCAAGACACTGCAAGTCACATGTATATGGATGTGTCCCTGCAGTTTTGTAGATTTCAAGCTACTACTGTTGATTCCCGTCACCCAGCCATCATTGATGAGGATTAGTGTAGTCCCTGCAGTTTTGTTAGGCTCTTAGCTTTCAGCTAACACTGTGATCCCGTCACTCATCCATCAGGATTGGAGGAATCAGTCCTTGCAGTTTGTCATTGGCCACCAATGCTTTCCTTCATCCACTTTTGAAGTTGAAGTTTCACAAGCTGCTGTTGTCCATCTATGTTTGCCTCACACTCTTGAAGACAAATCATCTAGTTCAACACCGAGTTCATCTATTCCAAGCTTAGTACATACAATATGTATGCTCTAGCTTGAGGGGGAGTGTTAGAATTATTGTATTTGTATTTAGATGTGAGTTGTGAGTGTGCTGTATGTGAGTGTGTGTGAGGTGTGTACCACTCACTTACTCCTATAAGTATAGGATTAAGTGAAGGGGTGTAATAGGTAAGAGAATCATTTCATTCAATACAATACCATTTTCACAATATGTTATTCCAAGAATTAAAAGATACAAAATATACGAAACATGCATTGAATGTATTGAATATGCACCTGCAATCGAAGATAGGCAAAGATAGGAGTTTCCATCAAGCGGATCAATTTATCCAGTTGGACCAAAAGTTTGACATTAATATCCTCCTCCACCAGTGACTGAATCACAGTACTGGCATGTTGGTAGGTCTGTTCAGGAAGACAACTTTTATTTTACTAAAATGTTATATAGTATCAACAAAACGAAACTGTTTACAATGAGTGTGTGAGGCACTTGTGCATTTGCTAGAGAAAGAAAGAAACTTGGAGGGCATATAATCAGAATCTCATTAGAGAGACCTACCTGAGCTAAAAAGCATAGACTTATAATTGCCATTGGAGAATGACACCAGGAGGCATACAGAGCATCATATAGGTCCTTCCCGGAAGGAGTTACAAGTGATTGCTTCAAAAGATCTCGAATCTCAGATAATTCTGATGATGTAAGTAAGATCAAATTCAAAGCCTGAAATATTTTAGAAAGGGGAAAAATAAATGCAGATGAATACTGCTTCATTACATGGGACAGTTTACCTTCAGACTAAAGAAAAGGAAAAAGAAATACAATGGAACAAAAAAGGAAACAAGCAACAAAAATTAATAATATTGAAAATAGCATCCAAAAACTGTTCATCCCAACACCATCTAGGAAGTTAACCTTAACATAAGTTATTAACTTCAATTCCATAAAATAGATTGAAGCCAACATTGCACATTTTTGGAAATAAATAAAACAAAAACATTTTCCAGCCAAATAGCATAAGCTTTGATCTTTGAAATCTCAAGATTAAAATTCCATTACAAAACAATGTTATTTTAAAAAGTAAAATCCATCCATTTAGTACTCCAAAGTTGAGTCACCATATTACTTTTTTTAAAATTTGGGTCAGTAATTCAGTCACTAAAAATCAAAATTACCAAAATATTAGACCTCAACATTTTGTTGTCAATTTAGAGCTTCAAAGATCTAATCTGTCACCCAACTAATCCCATGAGATCTAAAATGTCATCATATTGGTCATTATGGAGGACTAAAGTGGTTCAAAACAAGAATATTAAAGGAAAAAACTAAAACGTCACCATATCAGTCTTTATGGATGATTAAAGCAGTGTTAAAAAAATATCTGAGGGATTGAGTAACAACTTGAAGTTTTGGGGATTAATTTTGCAACCAAGAAAATCCTTTAGAAACTTATCTGATTTGTTGAAGGTTTACTATGGTGACAGACAACTTTGGAGGATCAAATTAAGGGTATTGTCTATTAAGCATGAATGCTCAGTAAATCCACATTTTCCATCAGTGAGATGTGTAAGACTGAATAAAATCAAACGAATTTCACAATAAAAACAAAGAAAATACACTGCAGGTAGTGTTTAGCACTTGGAAAAGTCACAAACCTGAACCATAATTGATGCAAATTCCAAATCAGATTCTCCTTCTAATATTGCAGAAAGTTCCCGGTAGACTCTCTCAGCATTCAAAAGAACACAAAGGCGACGAATTATCAAAGCACCCCGCCTGGAATTTATAATATAAAATTACAAAATTTAATGAATGAAAAAGTGGATATTAGTAGTAAGAACGTATTTTAGGAAATTATAACTAGAATTCGTAGGATAAAAGAAAATAGCTTACTTCTCCAAAAGGGAATTATCTAGTTGGAAACTGTGCACTAGAAAAGCAACAAGCTGCCGGAAATGGAGGGGATCTCTTGCAATGCATGCATGAACATCAAGAACTAGAAGCACAACCTATTTAATATTACCGAAGTGAAATGAATCAAGGACAATTCAAATGAATTATTAATTTCCCAAATTACACAAATAACATACAAGGTAAAGTCTAAAGTTACAACTTTTTTTTATCCAGTCAAAACTCAAGCAATCTTTTAAAGATCAAACAAAAGATAGAAAGAACCTGACAATGTTCAAACTATTGGTCAGATCAACTCCAAGTAATTACTCAATTGGTTTAACCATAAATTTGCGGTTAGATCATGATCAAACTATGGTTGAACTAGATAATATTCAAACCATACACATAGCTGATTCGATCTCAACCAGTTTAACTGGATGATTTGATAAAAAATTTAAAATATTGTTTAACAGTCAAGACAGCACATACTAGATATTTATATATACGGCCTTCCGAGGAAAACCAAGTATACACTTTATTTTCACGCACAACTTTTTCAGTTAAAAAAAATCACTTCAGAGTATTTGTAAGGACATCTTGCTAGAAGTTACTGCTCCTAATCAGCAATTATGCAGCAGAGTTGTAACTGACAAGCTTCCCATATGAAAAAGTGAAAAATAAAATTTGAATTTTAAAGCAACAGTGTTTTGCACTCATCCTTCTGACGTTCTCCAATTTTATTTTATAATCATCCACATTCTCTCTTTCTAGAAAAATGTATATCTTAGACAAATGATGATACACAATGGCCTAGTACTAGACATGAGAACCATTGGAGGATGGAAAGGGAAAGGGCAACTGCCAGCTTTTAATCATTATCTAGGTAACTGAAGCATTACCAAACATCATGTTTTCCCATTATAATATGGCTTGCAGTGCCATATGATAATTTACTCCTTCCTCCAGTAGGGTATGTGCTGAATGGTCTTGTTCATTTTGTCTGAGAATGTACTGTGATGAGAAGCTAAAAAGGGATTTGAAGTCTCCCCAACCAAAAAAGAAAAAACTGCCCAATCTCTTTTGTCTGAGTAAGATAGAATGAACCCCCTGTGATTTTCTCAAATTACACTTTCACCTCCTGCTTTTTTCACCATTACAATGACCTCCCTTATTAGGGGTTGCAACAGTATGATTCTAAAACTTAAGGAGGTGCGTGTATAATGCAAAAGGTAGAGAAATATAATTGTTTAAAACAAAGGGGATACTTTTGTAGATTTTAAAAATAAAAACTAGGATCTCAGTTTAATTTGAGAAAATCTCAAAGTATGCCAATATAATTTACTCTAGAACAAATTGTAATGTTTTGACCCGTAAATAATACTCTCCCCAGCCCTTAATATGAAAAAAGAACAAATACTTAATCCATCAAGAATAACGAAATTGGTTTAGTTAATTTACTCTAAAAATGCACACAACTAAATGGTTTTAAGTAGTCGTCATAATTACTAACACTATACATAACTTGAGATATAATTTCTCCCATCAATGAATACACCCACTTGCATAGGTTTAGGGTTTAGGGAAAGACTTGGTGTTTTACTAATAGAGCTCACAATAAATTAGGGATATAAAAGGAGTTTAACTATTAATACACCTGAAAGTGAGTCTATTTTCTTACAATTGGGACCAAAAATGCACTATTTTGTTTCTTATGTATATAAAGGGCTTGAGAGATCATAAGAGAACAGAAATCCTAGGTCACACCACACACCTGAGTTAGGGTGGTTAGCAACTTAGCATCTCAACTAATTGTGATTGGTCAAGTTGAAATGATATATGCACACTATAACTTATCTATGTTGGTTAACACTATAAAGGTACAGTTAGAAACACAACTTCATTAGACATTTTCACAAAGATTACAAGAAATCAATTTTATGATTTGATGAAAAAGAAATAGAAACAAAAAAGTTATCACCAGGACGCTACCTTATCAGAAGAATCTGAAAGTGCTTTTAGTAGGGTATCAATATGTCATTCAGAAATATCAAAACCTGATTCAGACAACGAAAGCCAATAGTGAGCACAGACATAACAGAATAACACAATTAAAACATTTCACACAAATTGAAAAAGTAATAATTCAAAAGGGGAGATGTCAATGAGGAATATTTTTTACACGAACAGGAAAAGATTGTGAAACTAGAAGGCGCAGGTACTGCAAGGGACATACATGGACAAGGATACAACACAAAATGGAGACAAAATTTTATAAAAACAATGCAGGTCATGGCAATATATAATATGCATAAAATTAGCAGTTTTGTTGGCATCAGTCCTTATAACTGATTTCAGCAATTACAGGTGGATGGTTTCTCTTTGGAGGAAAATAATTTTTAATTTAGTATATCTACTATAAAAAATATTTTATTGTCCAACAAACAACTTTCCATCTGCAATTGCTTCAAATTAGCAAAGGGATAAGGTTAACAAAACCATAAACGTAATTAAAATTAACATAAAATAAAATTCTTAACACAAGAGGATTTATTCTAAAAATGAACTTGAATTATTCTAAACATAATTAATTAACTGTTACAATTTATCTTAATATTGTAGTATTTCAATTTCTATTGGAATAAGAGTTGTAAAAACTAAAAGTGATAAGAGTTGTAAAATGCAGGTAAAGATGTTTTGAGTCTCCATGCCATGCCCAACATGATTACATGTTTGAAAAATGGATAATATATCATGGCCAATATTTAGATGTATAGTGCTTTCATAACACCAAAAAATAAGTTCGCCTCATACGTATTTGTGTGTTGCAGTGCAATAAGAAAAAATATGTCAAGTGTCCAACACAAATACATGTTTGACGCACGGACAACACAACATAGCTACTATTTAGAACTATCATGCTTTCACAGCCCAAAAAATAAGTTGGTACAAACTGTATTTGTGTTTTTTGAGTGATTGCTGTAGTTATAAAAATAAGAAACTGATCCAATATAATCAAGAATATCTTGATTATACATGTATTACTGATTCCTTTTTATCAAATATAAATAAAGCCCTCGTGCTATCTTGTAATACAGTCTTAGCTCTATGTTTCTCTGTTTCTTAGAGTTTAAGAGTGATAATCAAAGAAAAAAGTAAGAGTGCCATAAATGGGATGTAAGATGTGCGGCAAGGCACCCTAGACCCTAAACCCTAATAATGGTAGAAGACATAAACAACACAATGTTTCTAAAGATTCCTGAAATATCCAAACAGGTGTGGAATCGAGATCTATAACAAAGATTCCAAATAAGCATATTAAGAGACTAGATTCATTCCATATAATAATAGTATCCTCAAAATATAACAATAAAAGCTGAATTCAATCAAATCACCTCACTACGGTGTCTGGATAAAAGGGTCGACATCCAGTGCAAAGCTTCAATTCGAGTAGCCTCCCATTCACTAGATAGTTGCCTAACCAGTCAAATCATTTCCAAAATCATTCTCCGGAATAAACATTGCAAAATAGAGTCGGCTAAACTAAACAGGCCCTCAATCATAATTGAAAAGCAGCAATTTTCAGAAAAAACTACACCTCCTAGCAATGGACAGGATTGCTCCTACATCAAATGCGTCAGCTGGATCAGCCTTGATTCCACGTAGCTCTTCATTGGTTTCACGAGCAACCTTATACATAAGCCACAAAAGAGTTCTAAATCCTTGCTTTCCAATGCAGGCAACACCAAAATTAAACATCATACAAAACAGAGAATAAAAAAGGTAAATTACCAAAAAAAATGGTAAAGACAGGGAAAGAGTGAAAACTCCAGTAAGCCTACCACTCTAATTTTCTCTTCTTTATCAGATATGCACGGCAAAATGGCTCCAAGAATGTCAGCATAATATGGAACAAGCTGATCTCCACCAAGTTTAACAAACTCATTTATCTGTTAAAACAAGAAAGCACAGTTTAAGGAAAATAATAATGAACAACAATTCATAATAACTTTGACAAGATGTCAACACTAAACAAAAGTTTGATTACAATAAAAACTTGTTAAACAAGCCAAAACATTGCAACACAACTCACCCACGTGATAGCTGTTAACCTAGTAAATTCATCTGGAGAACCTGCCCTTTGTACCAGTATTTCAGCCATTCGACCATAATCTACAGACTTTAAGAGTACCACTGCTTGAGTCAGAAAATGACAAATAAACAAAACATGTTGCTTTTGTTTCAATATATTAGGTGAAAATGGTGCACACTTGTACAACACAGGAAGAAGTGAGCAAATAGATGAAACCTAAAAAATGCAAGGATGGGGGGAAAGACAATCAACATGAATGAAACCTAAACAATGGAAAACATATAAAAGCAGAAAATGGCAGTAGTAAACCCTAACCAGGAAACTAAAAGCAGAAAAACAGGGCCCAAAGCAAAGAATTGCGATCTGAATATATTCAAATGAAAAGGAAAAAAGATACATTGTCAGAAGCCTTACTGGTGAATTTTTAATCTCTTGAAGAAACTCCGAAAGAGCTGAATCAGCCTGCTGACGTATTTCATGACTTGAATCACTCAGCATATTAAACAAACCTGAGATGTTGATGAAGATTAACTAGTTTACATGGAGTTTGTCAAGAGAATAAAAATGTAAAAAATGATTCTTCAACCAATAGACTTACCATCAAGAAAATCAGGAAGAAAGCCCAGCATGTCAATATCTGGGACACTGTCCAAGACAGTAATCCATCCAACCAAAAACTGACGAACATATGGATTCAAAACATTCATGCGCTCCCTCAGCAATGGTATAAATTCTTCAATACTGATAATCAAGAGATTAAAATGGGGGAGCATGAAGCATTACAAATCAGTCAGAAATCTAGGTATTCATGGCTCTTTCGAAATTTAAAACCCAACAGGATACAGTCGTGCAGAAAAACATACAGCACAGATGTAAGATGTGCACCTGAACTGATCACTTTCAGTCACAATATCCTGTTTGAATAAAGTAGCATTTAATCATTAGTTGATCAAAAGGAACAGTAATTCAAATCATTATTAGATCAATAATACATATTCAGAAAACATATGATATGCGCAGCTATGCACTCGAGTAAATATGCCAAAGGATTGTTCAAGTTCAGGAGAAGTTTATTATACCTTTACAAGTCGGTCTAAGAGATGTGCAGCACTTTGTACATTGGCATCTGAGTCTGCAGAAAGCTTGCATAAGGCATCAAAGATCTGGTTGAAGAATATAATAAAATCTCCTCTCACAACCTAGCATCAAAACGTGATGACATTGGAGAATTGTACATTACAGTATTGACGGTTTATATAGGTAAGCAGAATTGATCCCCACCTTTGCTATGTTGTATAATGCTTCACAAGCATAATAACGAACTCTGCTATCTTGATCGGCAAAGGAATTCAATACAGGAGGTACAATTAGCTGTCAAAAATGTATACACACATCAATTTCATCATTCTAGTTTAAATAATAACTTTTGGTTTATTAAACCTCATCCTAAAATTTTGACCCATGGGAAGATTAGCTTAAACATAAAAAAGAGAACTAGCATTCAAAAGTAATTAGCATGTTTCATGTCAATAACTACAGTGAAGCTACACCTATTATATTTCATTCAGTGACATGCTTGAAATTGCAGTTTCATAGTGCTGTGGTTTTCAAAGTGCCTAGTGCTACAGATGCTAGAAAAATCCCGACTAAAGAATGTTTAAAACTACTGCAAAAGGTCATCATATCTGCTTATGAATTACAGGACAAATAGTTTTGATGAATATTATTGCATATATCCAAAATTACTGGTATAGATATACATCTAAAATGTAAACACATTCGAAGCTGAAAAGTTAGTAACTTTATGCCATATATAGCAAATTTGAAAACGGTATCCCCTAGAGAGCTTCTGATTCATAGGTCTGAACTGATGAAAATACATACAGTTCTGACATAACTTATCAAGTCAAAGTAAGTAACAAGTATCTTATTTTTATTTCAACCATTGGCAGAAAATAAAACCATTACCTTTTAATAAATTACCCATACCCATAATACCAAGATAAAATCAAATTAATCCAAAATTAAAGAGCATCAAAAGGTTATTTGAGAAATCCTTAATCCCATGTTATAGGAAATAATCCCAACCAGTGAACAGTACCAAGCTTCTAAGGTACACCACCCAAAATGAAATTTGAGTAATTTAATATGACAAAAATAGCAAGTGATGGGCATCCCCTTACCTCGAGATGCTGAGCAGCTTCAATTGTCAACCCAACAGTGGCAGCAGCTAAGCTTATCAACCCTCCCTTCAATAAATTAAATTTAAAAAAAAAATGCTCAAGTTATTAAATTCAAGCTAGAATTAACCCAAATTAAAGATTAAAAAAACATAATTAGCACTACCTTACGGTGATTTGCCTGTGGCGAATAAGTGAATTCAGTAGTCAACAAACTGATCACAGCAACTATCCTATCATGATCCCCAGCAGAAGCAAGCTGCTTCACTATCCCCTCAACCTATAATAATAATAATAGTAATAACACAAAACCCTTTAAAATCATCAATGTACTCAAAACTCACGAAATTGAAAACAGGAGGGAAAAAAAAGAACAAAAGTCACGATTTTTTTTTAACAGAAAACAACCTCCAGTGCTGCATTCTTGCGCTTCTCGTAGAGCTTGTCGGCGAGGTTACGAAGCACGGCGGGCGGAATCACCGAGAGAGCTTCGGCCATGGCAACACCTTCGCAATCGAAATTCGAAGAACAATTTGAGAATCAAATTCGTTTGCGGATCTTCTCCTGCTCCAATCTGAACATCCTCACTTCTTTTCCCTTACGAAACGGAAATCAAAAAGTGCAAATAAAAAATGGCAAGGTTTTCAAGGAGTTTCATTGGCGTGGAAATGCGATTGAGTGGGAAAACTGAAAATCGGATCTGAGAAAAACGTAAATGGAAATTAAAATTATAATTGACACTGAAACCTATAATTCTCTTTCACTTTCCTTTGGTAGTTTTCGGTAACCTTTTTTGCATAGTTCACGTTTTTGTGACATTGAAATTAATGAGCAGTGAGTAACTTAGAGGGGTTGTTCGTGATGGTCGAATATGATGAAAGAGGAAAAATCACGGAAATATCCTTAATTTGTGGGTACTGGTATAAAATTTCAGTTTATTTATTTATATTTTTTAAATAATTTCCAAACTTTATCAGTTTAAATTTTGAGTGGAGAAAGATATGTAAATTTTTGTAAACTCCTCCTCACAGTCATTTTTGCGGAATAAAAAACTGGAGCTTTTTATTTTATTCGATATTTTAAATATATTGATAACATTAAATTTAAACTAAAAAATAATATTTTAAATCAGAAGGCAAAAGAAAACTAATTTATTTTAAAATTAAAGAACAAAGTGATTATAAAAAAATATGAAGAAAGATAAAATTTTGTTTATAATGTATAGTTTACATTTTACAATAAATAAATATGATACAAATGTTCTGATTCTATGTCTTGAAAAAATCTATAAAATTCATTTTTTTCATACAAAACTTTTTCACCTAAAAATTAAAACCTTTTCTACTGATTACTCAAACCTAAGTATTAGATTTGGTACTTTTAAACAAAGTATTAGTTATGGATAAAAAATAATAATATAACCGCAAAGAAATACTTCCCTTAAATGTGGACAGTTAAAGTTCTTTATGAAATAGTTATACAGAAAATTGAAATTTCATACCTATAACATAATTACAAAAATAAATTAATTTAAATTCTAAACTTTTACATGCATATATTTTATATATATCGATCACCTTCTTTTAATAGCTCATTAAATTATATAATTTTAATAAAATACAGAAATAATCTGATATATTATTGTCTGCTTTGATAAGTATTGTGATCATAGATGTAATTCCAACTATCGAAACAGATTTGCAAACAGGAAATCAACGTAATTTAACATGTAAAATGATACCAAAATTTTAAAACTTTTTTTAGTATTTGTATAAAGATTTGTAAAAAAAATGAGAAAAATATAATCAGTACGACTAAAGGATATGATAGGTCCAAAACAAACTTAAGACCTTTTATTTATAATTATATTTTTTAGCCTTTTCTTATATAAGATTTTCATTAAATTGTCATAATTAATTTTACTTAATTTTTTTGTAATTTCAACTCGCTTTCATTGTTTATTTCATTAAAAAATTCATCTTGATTATTCATAAAAAAAACTAAACATTAACCTAACTAATAATTATGTGATTCAATTCAAGCAAAAAGTTATAATTACTAAGGAAACTTATAAATCAAATTGAAAAAATGTTAAAAGATAAGATTATCTAACAACTCTTATTTTGAAGTTTAAACAATAGTGTCCAACGAAATAACATCTATTAAAATGAAAATAACATCTATTAAAATGAATGGTCAAACATTACTCTAAAGAGACTAATGAACGTCCAACATATTAAATACATGTACAAATAATATTCTTATATCTGTTGTCTTCTCTTTATTTGTGCAAACTATAAAAAGGATAAAGTTTTATTCAAAATTCTATCATAAGAACATTAATATATAGAAGACATTCTAGGAATGTTTCCTCAATGTTTTCTCTTTGATGTATCCGTACAAACAGCACGTTTTCCTATACAAATATAATCGCGAGAAGAGAAAATAATAACTATAATTATTATCTCTTACTCTTACGGAGTCTTTTTTTTTTCTTTCTCTCAAGCTTATATTGTCCAACTCTTCTTCAAAGAGAAAATATTTATTACAAATTTTCAAATATTCTTTGTATTGAAAATGTATCATTTTCAAGAGAGTTATCATTTGTATTTGTCTTATAAAAACACTTTATTGGTTTTGTAAATTCAGAAGTAAATTAAAATATTTGTTTCTTTAATTTACTTTAAGTTAAAATATGTATTCAATTGGACTAGTATAAAACTAGGAGTGGTGAAATTTGTTTGTAATCTTTTTTAAAAATTAATGGAATCCCTTGAGAGAGTTTAACAAGAGAGAACAAGAAATAACTCGAAGTTTGAAATGAACCCGTACAAAAAATTAAGTTTATATGTCTCCACAACATTTTAATCCCTGCAATAAAATCTAACACTTATTTGCAAAAAAAAGTTTTAAACTATACTCAAACCTTCACTTTCTAGAATTTAACTATGTTTATAAAAACAAATAGAATAAAACCAACATCAACACAAATAGAAAAAAAACAAAAAAAAATATTAGTACACACAGACTCATGATATTCAAGGAATTGAATATGCCAAAACCATTTTCAAAAGAACAACTCTAAAATAGAAGAAAACAGGGATTGAAAAATAGTGAAATAAATCGATGAGAAGTCTCAAAAGAAAAAAAATATAAATTGAAATATTTATAAGAGAATAAAATTAACTAATTATTTTATTTTTCCTAAACAAATTTATAATTTATAAAAAATAGGTTTCAACTCCTTAAATATCATTTTTAATATCAATAAAAATTAAGAGACACCGGTAATAATTTAATTAAATTTTATTCTCAAACATAAAATTATAATTAGTTTAATATACAGGTATATTTGTAAAAAAAATTAATCTTTTCTTTTCTTAAATATACTTTTATTATTAATTTAATAAAGATATATTAGTACTAAAAAAACTTGAAGCATTTACATAATTTTAAAATTAATATTATAGAAGAAAATAAATGGGTTACATACTCTTAGATATGTTATTTGTAGCTTAAAACACCAAATAGAAGTGGTATAAGTTGGTAAGAGTGTCTAAAATACGTCAGTTTAGGGTGGGAGGGTATAAATTCTATAAAATTGGTGTTCTGCAGAGTTATGTAAAGTGACTGGGCGGACAGGGCTCGTTGGGCGAGTATTTAAAGGTTCTGAAAATGAGTTTCATTGATTAAGCGAGCCAACTTGTTAGACTTGTGAAACTCATTATTTTTGCTCTCGTTGGGCGAGTGGAGGCTGCTCGTTAGGTGAGCCTGTACTCGCTAGGAACCCAATTTCTAGAGCTGGGCGAGTGAGTCTAAGTCTGATTGGTTGTTTTAACTTCTTTTCTCTTTAGTGCATGGTGTTAAATGATATGATTGTTTATGTTAAGATCAGTGGTATGGTTTGGAACATGTGATTGGATGGATGTGAGGTTTCTAAGAGTTTTAAGGAGAATTCTTAATGTATCAAAGTGTTCTTGGTATGAATGTAGGGAACTCATTTTTGGGGGTTATCTTGAGACTCTAATGATCCTTCATTCTCAACTATAGAGGACTGATACATGTGGTGGAAGTAGCAAAATGTTTTAGTCTATGTGCTTCTGGTCTGGTCTAAGACGTGGTACATACTAATCTTGTGAGTATGGTAGGGTGAAACTCATTGACAATGTCTCTACAGAGTAATAGAAGCCACCACAAATGCATGACCGGTCATAACTCGACATTCATACCATATCCAGATAGTCTAATCTAAGTCTTTTGGCATGATTAATATGTTTGGTTTGCTTTATATGAAATATGATGTGTGCATGAAATGTTAATATATTATTATTGATTTTGTATTAATAGTTTACCTTGTTTGTTTGTTCTTGGTTTGGGTGTTGTTGTGTATTCATTTTTTTAATTATGATCAACTGGTTGGTGTGAGTAAAGAGTGATGATGTTTCTTTAAAGCAAGTGTTGAAGGGAGATGCATCAAATGTTTAGTTTCTTTTAAAACATATCTTTTGGTTATGGGTATTTGTATAAAGTTTGATTTTTATATTTATGTTAGATAATTGTAATAAAACTTTATATTTCACTGTTAACATTTTTATAGTTTTATTTTATTAATAATGTGATAAGTCTTGTATAAAGTATTAACACTATTTAAAATGGAATGTCAGAAATATAATCAATAATGGTTTTTTATACGTAGGTAATTTGATTATTTTATAAATTTATGGCTTATTTAGTTTTAATTTTCTCATAAACTTTTAACTGAATCGTAATAAACTTTTATGATATATTTAGTACTCAGTAAATTTGGGTTTTTTAATTCAGTTTTTACTATTAAATTTTTTTGTTGACAGGTGATATAGCAATTAAGTGGCTAATGTAGTTATTATTTTGTTCTGTCATTTTAGCCCGTTGTCACATCATGTTATTTTATTATTTTATAATTTATAATTTTATAAATTATGATTTGATAGTTTTTGATTTTATAATTTTATAATTTTAAAAGTTTATAATTTATAATTTATACTTTTGTAATTTTATGATTTTATAATTATATAATCATTTATATTTTCACAGCTTTATAATTTAATAATTTAATGTATAATTTCAACTCCACCCTTGTTTATAATTATAAAATTATGATTTTATGAATTTAATCCAAAATTAAAAATATATCATACTTTTATATTTCATTATGAAAAACATAACATCATAAAACCTTATCAAAAAAATATCTGGTCTGTTGTAAGATTGCAAAACAAAGGTGGAGTTGAAATTGTGAGTAAAAATATAAAATTATAATTATAAAAATATAAAATTTGTTATAAAATTATAAAGTTATAAAATTCTAAAATTCTAAAATTACAAATTATAAAATAATAAAATAGCATATTACAATAATTGAACAAGGTGATATGACAAAATAACCACTTAACTTTTTACTACCTTTACCACTTAAAAACCACATCACCCCATTAATAAAAAAAATTAACAAGCGAAAATTCAATTCAAAAGTATAAATTTATAAAATACTCAATATACCATAAAAATTTATTATTAAAAGTTTCCAAAACTTATGAGAAAGTTAAAACATACGCAAGTCTAATTTTATTTGTTAAAACAATTTTTCATTTTTATTAATTAAATCATTTACAAACTTTTATAAATTTTTTCTCATCTCTTACCATCTTTCCTATAATCCAAAAACAACGTCAGTTTCATCTCTTTTTTTCCTTCTAATATACTCATTTCTACTCCTCCAAATCTATTATCCGATCCAAACACAAAGGTTAACTTCAAATTATGCATTCTGATTCTTCAAACCAGATTTTTTTTAAGTTGTCTTATCTAAAATATGTAATCCGAAAACAATTTCATACATTCTAAACAGTGTT